TGCCTGGCACATGGGAAGTAGGCAGTAAATATTTGTCAAGTGAGATAAGTAAGTAAAAGTGAATCTCAAAAAAATATAAAGAAGTTTTCTTGAGAGTGGCCTACAGACAATAAAAAGGGCTCAAATATCATTTTGTGTCATGAATGTATTAGACGTTAACTTTCTTGTCATTTCGACCAGGAGAAAGGTGTTTAAGAGTCTCACTAAGAAGAATGTTTTTCTCCATTTTGTTTCATATTGTTAGTGAGTCATATTTTTAGCTTTCTGGACTTAACCAATATCATTGTATAATAAGGCTAATGATGATGTTGGGAATTCTCTTTATGAAGAACTCTTGATAGTTTAGTACCCAAATAAAGAAATTAAAGATGAATAATAGTCTTTCACTTACTCTGCCAGGCCCAGTCCTATGAGCCGGGATCCTTTGGAAAACAGAACAAGCTCTGGCCTTCACGGAGCTTATGTTCCATGAATAAATAAACAATCACATAATATAATGCCAGATACTGACATAATAGAGACTAGAGAGCGATGGGGGCCCTGCTTCCTTTCGATAGGAGGATCAGGGAAGAATTCTCTGATGAGATAACATTTAAGCAAAGAACTAAATTAAGCCATGCAAATATCTGAGGAAAGATATTTGTCTGGGAGCAGGCCCTGTGACTAAAACATGCTTGGCAACAGGCTCGGGGAAGTGCTACACTGAGGATGAGAGTTCTGTCTTTATATCTAATGAGACAACATAAAGGGTGGCTTAATTCAGTATTTCTGTTGCATTTAGACTCAGTACTGGGGCAGATACATGCCCAGGGCCTCAGCATTTTTATTGGAATGGTCAGTAAAGGTTTTGCATAAGAGGTGAAGTTTAAACTGGGTTATATAGCACTTAGCTATTGTTGTACAATTACAGACCACCCCAAAATTCAACCATTTAAAATAATAAACATTTATTATTGCTCACGAGACTGTGGTTCAGCTGGTCCTGATGAGGCCTGCTCGTGCACTGGGTAGGCAACTCTGCTGATCGTAGGCATGGCTCTGTCTCACATATCTGGGGTCAAAGGTTGGTCTGGCATGGCCCTGGCTGGGACATCTGGGCTTCATCCTTCAGTAGGCTAGATCAGGCTTGTTCACCTGGCAGTGGCATGGTTTCATGAACAAGACCGGAGCTTCTTGAACATGCCCAAAGCTTCTTGAGGCTTCAGCTTGGAACTGGCATTGCATAACTTCTGCCACATTCCGCTGGTCAAAGCAAGGACTGGAGAAGTGCAGTCCACTCTTACTGGAGGAGAGCAAAGTCATGTTGTAAAGAGTGTGGGTACAGAAGGACCCTTATTTGGAGCCATCAATTTAATGCATGGGCTTGAAGGGTAAATAGAGTTTAGAAGGAGGATGTGTGACCCTCCTCTGATTAAAGAAAAATGTGCCTTCACTATACCCCATCCCACCTCCCTAATACCTGAGAAACATGAAGTATAAGTTTTCTAATGGCTTCTAGATTTTAACACTTGAACTGTTCTTTCTCACTCAGAAAAGAGTATCTCATTGAAAGCACATCTATAATAGTCTTGAGAAGGTTTCATAGAATATATTAAGGGGCCGGCCGAGTGGCGCAATGGTTAAGAGCTCTCTTAGAATATATTAAGTTGTGTTGGTAGATGCCTGGCATATGGCCATATTTCTTGTCCAGTTATTTTGATCATGTTGGTGTTTCCACAAACAATGATTTTACCCTTCTCTTGTAGGATTATGCCCATATGTTGACCTGTGTTACTGAAAGAGAAAAGTTTATTGTACCCATCAAAGCCAGAGGTGCACGAGCCATCCTCGATTTTCCTGACGAGCTGAATTTTTCCACCTGCCCCGTCAAATACAGCAGTCAGAAGATTCTGCTGGTACGAAACATTGGCAATAGAGATGCTGTGTTTCACATCACAACTTGCAAGTATGTGTTCCTTTGGCTCTTGGCTTTGATTGATTATAGCTAAATCTAGACAGCTCACATAATTGGCTAGAATAGCAGTTGGGCTGGAACTGCTTATTACACTCTTCAGTTGCAAGGCTGGGAGATATAGGACAGACTTCCTCTTCATCCCAAGAAGAAACCAGATTTCAGGGTTACCTGTCTGGGTATGGATAGTTTCTGAAATGCTGGATAAGAGTCTTTCTATTTAGCATGGAGAATGGTCCATGGGAATCTATTAATAAACATATTTGTTTTGACTCTGAATTTTATAATTGGCTATATTAGTTTTCTACTGCTATGGTAACAAATGACCACACGCTTAGTAGCTTGAAAAAATGCAAAGTTGTTATCTGACATTGCAGTAGGTCAGAAGCCCCACTGGGCTAAAATTAAAGTGTCAGCAGGGCTGTGTTCTCTTTTGGGGGCTTCAGGGGAGAATCCATTCCTTTGCCTTTTCCAACTTCTAGGGGCTGCACACATTCCTTGGTTCACAGTGCTCAGTTTTCTCATTTGAAAAACGGGGAAAAGTATAGTAGTCACTTAATAGAGTTGTTGTGAGGAATAAACGAATTAATAAATGGAAATTGCTGGTACACAGCAAGTGCTATATAATAAGTGTTTGTTCTTTTATTGTTCATTCAAATGAGCTACTGCCAGTGTGGTAGGCAGAATAATGGGTCCTCAAACATGTCCCTATCCTAATCCTCAGACTCTGTCAATGTATAATATTACATGACAAAGGAGGATTAGAGTTGCAGACATAATTAAGGTTGCTAATAGACTGACCTTAAAACGGGGAAATTATCCTGGATTATCTGGGTGGGCACAATGGAATCACAAGAACCTTTAAAATAGAAGGGGGAGGCAGAAGAAGGGTTCAGAGTGATGAGATGGGAGAATAATTCGGCCTGCTGTTGCTGGCTTTGAAGATGAGAAAACGGAGCAATAGACAAGTTGTATAACTTGCTCAACAGCACGTAGCTAATAAGTGAAGGAGTTAGATTTTCATCTGTTATTTATGGAATAGCTCCAGGGTAGTTGACAACATGGGACAATATAAAGGGTGATGAGACAATCCTTGCCCTCAAGAGAAAGAACGATTGTTAGGTTATGAAAATGGTGGCTGATCAGCACAACCGTAACAAGAATGACCAGCTTGGGAAGGTAGGAAACAGGGTCAAGCTCTTTTCTGTGACTTTAAAAAATATAGTGTATATGTTGATCTGGATTGTGAGCTTATGTTCAGAAGGGCTTAATCTATGGAATCATATGCTGGTTTAAGGACACATCTCTCCAGAAAGGATTAGCATTTTCTTCTGCCTGGTTCACAAAGGTTAGACTAAGTAGATCTACTCTTTTGGTAATTTTTTGGCTTGTGGGGGTGGGGTTTGTGGACTGATAGTGCATATTCAAACCCTAAACCTGCATAAAATACATGTCCAAAGTTGTGAATCCCTAGAGGAACTTTGTTTTTCTCTCTTAAATCCAAGACAGACATTTTCCCCTGTGCTGATGGGAGAATGGTTTGGTAGCACTTTTAGTTGCCTGGGTTTATATGGGGATTTTGTTTTCAGTCCCCTGACTTGACCATCCCAATGCAAGGCTGTTAAAACCCAGGCTTCAAAGTTATGGGAACCCAGGGCAGACTCAGCTAATAGTTTCCTCTTTTTTTTTGTTTGTTTTTGTTTTTCTCTTAATTATGGCTTTATTATATTTATGAGGCTTAAAGAGAGTTCTTATTCCTCTTTGTTTTGGGATCTTGTGGATTTGCCTTACTTGTTTGCATGCTTAGACACACATTTATGTAAGTTACGTTTTACCTAGTCTTTCTAGGTATTTTCTGGCGGAAGAATTTTCAGGTTACTCAGTCTGCCGTGTTGTAGGTAGCAGGCTGCCATAACGCTGTTGAGGGCACATCCCTTGGGAGGGAATTTGTGTTTATTCTTCCATGTGCCCCAGCAGCATCACTGTCGCTGAGTCATTTCGTGGACATCCAAGTTTCTGTCTGGTATTTCTCCTGGCTGAAAAACTATTTTTGCTATTTCTTATAGCACAGGCCCATTGGAAATTCTCTCAGTTTTTACCCAATTTTTTTTTTATAAGAGCATTTTGCCTTCATTTTTGAAAGATATTTTCTCTGCAGTATAGAATGCTGAGTTCACAGTAAAGATACACATATTGTTTTTAGCACTTTAAAGATATCATTTTCTTGTCTTTAGCTTACATTTTTCTCATGAGAAGCCTATTAAAACTCTTATCTTTGTTCCTCTGTATGTCTTTTTCTTGGGCTCCCTTCAAGATATAGTCTTTATATTTGGCTTTTAGCAGTTTGAATATGATGTGTCTAGGTGTGGGTTTTGTTTTTGTTTTTTGTTTAAAGGAATTTATTTTGCTTTTGTTTAGTTTTGGTTTCAGTCCTGCGTGAGGTTCCCCCGGCTTCCTGGATCTTTGATTATTTTTGGAATATCGCAGCCATTAGTTCTTCAAATATGTCCCCTACTCCATCCTCTCTCGCTGTTTCTTCTGCTTGCAGGGAAGTTCTGTTTGCCACAGGTAAAGCAATCTGCGCATGTCCCATCTCCCTTGGTCAGTAGAGGGAATTGTCCATTTTTAGATTTCAGGCCACTTGCTATGCCTGCAACCTCAGCTCTCTGGTTGGTTCAAGAAAAGTTGTGATTTTGTTGTTTATCTGGGTTGTTTTTTTTCATTGTTAGAGTGGGAGAGACACTTTCCAGCTTTATTCATCCTAGTGGAAGCAGGACTCTGAACTGCTTTAGGTAAATCAGCCATCAAAAGCAGTGGAAAAGTTCTTTCGAAAATCAGTGTCCCCTGATGTTCACAAGTGCTCATACAGCCTTGTTTGTCATCTCATGGTGAGACTCGTGTATTTTTTTTTAAAGGTTTTTATTGGTGAATTGGGGGGATGGGAACAGTGCTGGGGAATTGGGGGAAGGGGGACAGACAAATTGCTGTCGTTTTTGTTCTTCAGTCTAGTTGTGGAGGATGTTGCCAGTCTAGTTGTGGAGGATGTTGCTTCACTGGCCCAAGTTGGCACCATCATTTCGCTCTTCCCTGGCGAGGCAGATCAGTCGCCGGCTTCTGGACGGCCGCTCACTGCGGCTGCTGGCCGCTCACGCTGGCTGCTGGCTACACACGGTAGCCCATGGCAACCCACTGCCACAGGGACTGCAGCCCACGCCGTCGCCGGAGACTCACAGCAGCCCAGCTCCAGGTTGAGCTGTTGTTCAGCATCTTAGCTGTGGAGGGCAGTGTCACTGGCCCTCATATGTGGGATCCGAACCGGGGCCCTCTGGCATCCCAAGCGAGTTCTTAGCCATCGCGCCACTCGGCCAGCCCGAGACTCGTGTATTTTGAATGAAGGAGAAGGAAGCAGTTTGTTCAACTGGCTCACCATAATTTAGGGAAAAAAAAGTCTTTTTTTGTTTAAAATAAGGCCTCCCACAACCACCATCTTTATACTACACATTAAAAACTCCCTGTTACATTGGTATTTTTCCAATGAAAAATAAAATCTACCTGAAGTGGAAAAAAAAGTGCAGGCAGCATATCTTCCTTGATTGTTTAGCTAAATCTTAAAAATTAGACATAAATGACAATGTCTTTCCATATTACATTCCTGTAAAGTGAAACAAAGGTACAGATTTAATAGTGTGAAGTTGCAGGAGAAGATCTTAAACTTTTCTGCCCATATAACTATGAATGTGAATTATCTTCTCCTAATATAGAAACACTTCTAAGGTAAAATGGTGAGCCAATTCAAGGACTAGCCAGGAATCATAAAGACATTAGAAACTCTAGTCCAACATTCCCGTTTTACAGATGAAGGAAGGCAGGTCTGAGAAGGGAAATGACTTATCTAAATTCCCCCAATAAGTTAATAATAAAGCCTGGATTAAAACAAACAGGGACCACTTCTGGGCTTGTTTACTCTCTGATCCATTCCTCGCTTTCCCCCTACTCTGCTCAGTATTTTTGTGGGGCTGTATTAGCCTCCCTAGCCTCCTGGGCCAGCTCGATTCTCGCTGGATTTGACCAGTGGGGGGCACTAGAAGGAGATTGAGGGTTGGAAGAAGCCAGGGTATTTCTCCGCCTCCCTTTCTGACTTAGGCAGGGTCCCTAGCAAGCGGCTGCATTTTCTCTAGCTTCTAGCTCCTGTCAGACAGGCCTGCTGTGGTTCCAACTTCTGCCAGGTACCCAGGATCTGGTAACACTTCTTCCTTTTGTCTCCAGACCAGGGGTGGATATGGCTTATTGCTGTTACTAATCCCTGAGCTATTGCACTGTCTTATATTGGGCTTCTCAATTCCCACCATCTGTGTAACCAAGTCTCTCAATTAAATTCCCTGTTTGCAAATATTTTTGTTTTCCTGTTTAGGCTCTGCAATAGTAGTTTTATGTGCTTTCCACAAAATGCCTGTTTTCCAACCATGCTGTCAATTTTGTGAGCTACCTCAAATCCTTCCAATAAACCCCTTTTCTATTTAAGTTAGCCAGAGCTGGCTTCTGTTGTTTACAGCTGAGAACCTTGATGGCTACAATGAGAAAGGATGCAGTTGAATTTGTGATCACATCGTGTTAGGTCAGAATCTCTAGGGAGATTCCTTGACACATATCCATTCTCAGAAATACAGAGAGTGATTGTGTTGCCCAGACGGGTTGAAGACCACACTATTAGTTAATATGATTGTCCATAGACATGATAGAGCAGTGGATATAGTTCGAGAATTTGGAGTCTGAAGCCCAGTGACTACTCTTGATCTTGGCACTTTTAGAGTCAATATACAGTTAGAAACAATATCTCACAAGAAATTGTTTTAAAAACAGATGATATTCTTTTCATTGAAATAATGATGTAATTAATGGTTAAGTTTATAAATGGTTAGGTTCATATAAATTATTATAAAAAATAAAACTTTCTTTACATGTCTCTTGCTGCCATTAGGATGTGAGCTTTTCAAATGCAAGGACTGTATCTAACTCTTTTTATTTGTATGTCCCCAGCATCTATCAAAGTGTCCAGAATAAATAAATGCTCAATAAATGTTTATAGGATACCTAACCAATAATATATTACAAAGGCAAAGCTACAACTATAAACCTCTACAATAATTTAAAATAAACACGCTCCAAGTACTATAAAATAAACGTAGTGTTTTTTACACTAATAAAAGGAGCTGCAACGTCTATAAAATATACAGAGAATGTAAATAATTACTCTTCAGCTTTATTACACAGTTGACCTAAACCTCTAGAAGATACCAGAATAACAACGACTATTAAAGTAGGATTAATTTCAGAAGGTGAAATAGAAGGATTAAGAAGCAATTTCAAAATCTAAAACCTCAAGTTAGGAATCAGTTAATAAGTAAGCTTATCTGAAGAAAAACACTATTCAATATTTAATATAATTGAACCAATATTTAGCCTTCTGTTAAAATACTGAATCACTTGGATGAAATAGTTTTAGTTCTTAAGAGCAGTTCATAGGGGACTGAACAAAAGTCTTTCAAAATCTTCCTCGTGGATCATGATTTTTCACAAACCCAAGTTCCCTCCCTAATCAAGTATTCAGTATTATGAGGATGTGATATCAAAACCAAACACTTGGGTAGATAGAGCCAGCCGTATACCCTTGAGGAACAATACCTTTTACCTCTTTGTAAGAGCATTTTCTGATACTTGATATTTTCTAGTCTGTTCAGCCTGTCTGCCTTTAGTAAAATGAAGTACAAAAATCAAATTACAATGTTTAAGCACAAGAACTTAACACACTCTACCCAATTAACGTCTGATTTATTGAGAGAGCGTAGGCAGCTCGAAGCAGCAATGGCTATTCCAGGTGATTTTCTACGTACTGAAGAAATTTAGTGTAATATAAACCCAACCATTAGCACAACAGGAAAGTATCTGTTACCTCTGTATGGAATTCTAGAGGTCCTCGAGAAGGGTCATTTTTTTCCATAGAAAATTAGCTTAGGTTCTGCAATGTAATACTATCGAATTCATTTCAAAATTGTCCTTCTGCTACCAAGTAATATTTGAAAAGAAAATGAAAGCAATTTCATTTCAGTGTAGGAAGAAAAATATTAGGAACCAGGGAGGCAAAGATAGAAGAAAATACAATAGATTATGTTGTTCCCAAAGCCAGGAAACTGGGCCCAGTTCTCAGCTCTTAGGTTCTTACTGAGGTCACGAAGAAGGAAGGAACTTTTGAGACCGTGACACTCAACTTCATCTCCCATGAAGCAGAGATTCTTGAGATACTGAAAATCCTTCTCTTCTGTTCCATCAAGATGTTATAAAGATTAATTAATGGTTACAGATGCTTTTATTCCCTCCTAAAAGTCGATTGTAATTTAGTTTGACAACTTCTTCGAGAGGTTCCTGTGAGTAAAGAACTGTGCATGGTGTAGTGAGAGACACAAAGATGAATCTAATGGTGGCTTCCACCTTCAGGGGTGGTTTGGGATGGACAGAAAGAACTTGAACTCGAAGGCAGGCTTCCATCCCAGCTCCACCACTACCCAGTTAGGTAACTTTGGGACATTCACCTGCCCTTTTGGAACATCTGTTTTGTCATGTCTAAAATTCAAATAACCTTCCTCAAGGTTTTTGGGGTTTTTTTGAGGATTAAAGGAACTGACATATGTAAAGTGCCCAGTGTAGTATCCAGCATAGAGTATGTGGTCATGAAATTTTGTTTGCGTTCCCTTTCCTTTCATCTCAAGAATCTCTAGCTATTGAGAGAGGCAGGCATGAAAACTAACTATAGTATAAGGTGAACTGTGAAGTAAGAAGTAAAAAAGAAAGCTATAGCCTCTGAGAGGAAGGAGACATTATTAACAAGAGGGAAAATTGGGAAGATTGTATTTAAGAGTTGATTTTGAGTCTGGGCTGTGATAAGTGACTTTGGAAGGAGGATGACTTGTGGAAAATGATGAGTATTTCTATGTGACCCCAGCAGTTCTGGAATGTCTATGTAGGGGGACACAGTCTGGTTGGAAGGGAGAGGAGGTACAGTGCTCGGGGAGGTTACAGGTAAAGAGACTAAAGCCTTTGCATCCCTTCCTATCCCATCCCATCCCATCCCTTCCCTTCCTTTCCCTTCCTATCCCTTCCTATCCTATCCCTTCCCTTCCCTTCCCTTCTCTTCCCATCCCATCCCATCCTGACTTGGAATGTGACAGGTGTATAGGATATTTGGACAGATGTATGTGTTTAATGAGAGTGCAAAAACTGCTCAGGAGTGGATTGTGTGGGAATTTGAATGTCTAGGACTTTGAACTTTATTATGTAGATTTCAAAGACCACTGCAGGTGTTTGAACAAGAGATTGATGTGTTATGACCCGTGTGTGTTTTTTACAAAATCTCTAGAGCAGTTTGAAGGATTGAGAGGAAAATTATAAAAATTTAAACTCATCTAAACACCCACGATCATCCCCAGGAGCATCTTCCATCTAGGGGCTGCCAGTGAGGGAGGTAACAGCAGCAAAAACAAAAATAATAATGAACGCTTGTTTAGCACTTCCTCTGTGCCAGGCAGTGTTCTAACCTACTCGTATATCAGCTCCATTAGTCCTCACCACAACCCTATGAAGTAGGTGCTGTCATTACCCTCACTTTAGAGATAAGGAGACTGAAGTTTCAATGACTTGCCCAAGGTCATGCCAAGCTGTGTTTTAAACTTATTCAGCTGACTCCAGGCTGGTAACTACTACCCCCCACAGTGCCTCAACAGCAATTCCTTGATTTCATTGGAGGATTGGTGCTGTAGGTATTGGAGAAGAACAAAGGATAGGAAAAATAGAAGTGAAAGGAGAGGGAAATCCAGAGAGCACCAGATAAAAGAAACTATTGCCTGTGGTGGGAAGCATTAGGGGTCCTGCAGTAATAATCTCAGGCGCCACCAAGTGCTACCTTTGCCATAGCTCTGTATCCTCATAGAAGAAAGCTTAGGTTTTCTGGAATTAAGTTCATTCTCTAAGGGAAGATTTAAGGAATGAAGACTCCCAAAATGATTGTGATGTCATGAAATAATCAGAAATGGCTTAGTCTGCCAGATACATTGTCTTTGAAAAATTAGCTATTTGAAAAAGTGACATGGACCATGAAAATAATTAAATGGGCTGGGGTTCCTATTTCAAAGGAAAGCTGTAAATTATTTAAGCCACATTCATGATCAGATCTAGCTTCTCTCTTACTACTTCCTTCCAAAGCAATTAAATGAAACTATTTCCTGTTTCCAAATCCACCCTACCTTTGCATAGTGTCTATATGCCCCCGTTCTATTTTCAAGACACAGAACTTGTCCCCCGTTTGCCTTTCCAAATGCTTCCCACCCATCTCCATCTTCCCCTCATCCAGGAGGCTGACCTGTAGGGCATAGCTCAACAGGCTCCCGTACCTTTGGCTTCCCGTTGGGTCCATTGGGTTCAGCCAGTGGGAGTCCCAGCACGCAATCAGACAGGAGAATGTGAGGTCAGGACATTTTTCTCCCTAGTGTCTTCCCTGTAAAGCCACTTGGGCTGTCTGTCTCTCTTGACTGAAGCTCCTTGCCCCTCATGAGGTAGCATTCCCTTAGAACTCGCGTGGGTTTCAAAACTGCTCCTTCTCCTTGGCTCCTTGGGCCTGGAGGTGGCAACAAACAGCTCTACTGCTAATAAGCTTGGGTGCTTGAGTCATCTCTTGTAGTTTCCCTATACCCTTTCCCCCCTTTTAAACAGATACTTTGTAAAACTGCCCTGGAATTATCCTTTTGTGATTGTGTGATCACTTTCCTTTTGGGATTCGGATACATTTTTCCATTATGAAGGCCTTTCTTCTCTGAAGGCTCACAAAACTTGACTTTTATCCCTTTGAATGTACTGTTCTTTTGTAAGTTACAGTATTTGCATAGATATTGTGAGTCTGTCCCTTACTGGAATCAATGAATGTTAAAAGAATGGCTGAATGGCAAGGGCACAAACATGAATATTATTGCATCATTTAAGTTTCTCTTAAACTTGCTGATTTATTACTGTTATTTTAACATTACAACTGAAATTCTTTCACATTAGGGCGAAAAGCCTGCTTTCCTTCTGAATCACTGATTTGCAGTGTCGGGTCTGAGCTGTCTGCAGATCTAGAACTCATGCATGCTCTCCTTTCCTCGCACTAGTCAGGAATATGCTCTGATGGTGTGTCTCGTGTGTTGCAGGCCTTTCTCTGTGGAGCCATCTGTTGGAACTCTTAGTGTGGGAGAGTCCATGCAGCTGGAAGTGGATTTTGAGCCACAGACTGTGGGCAATCACAGCAAAAGGCTTATTGTGTATTACGACACAGGTATGCATTATTCTTTGTTTAAAGTTCTACGTGTTCGCTCAAGAGTTTGAACTCTGAGCAACAGCGGTTCAATGCCCGGCCCGAGCTGAGCTGCCGCTGAGCTGCCAACAGGTGGCAGGATGGTTCAGCTAAAAAAAAAAAGTTCTACGTGTTAAGAAAGGTCAGATGGAAAATATGATCAAATAAAATAGGAAATGGTAATTTTGGCTGCCTTTGAGTAAGCTGATATCCACAAAGTAAAGAACAAAAGAATGAATGCCTCCAACAGAAATAATGTTGAGACAAATATAATTCCCACCTTACTGGTTTCTCCAATGCTTGAAAGCCTGAGAAATACACAGCTCAGGAAGGAACCTATACCCAGATGTCACATTAGTAGTTGAGGTTATTTATAAGTAAATGGAACTTGAAGGTAACTTAATACCCCATGTGTTTTCCATTTGATTTGTTGCTGCATTTGTCTGACATTTTAAAAATGTAAACCCCAGTTCAGAATGGTCTTGTGTGTGCCCATTAGTCTGTGTAAGATCCAGTTACTTGAATTCTTAGCATGTGCAAATATCTTACTTAACATCTTACTTAAATATAGGACTGTGACTATTGCCACTAGCATTTTCTTGAAGGCCACACTCAGCATAATCATGAAAATTATACATTGTTTTTGCAAGTATTTAATTGATGGTCATGTATACTGCATATACATTATGCAAGTTTCCGAGTTGGTTTTCAAATTAATATTCTACCATTGTCATATTTCATAATTTTTTTTCTCATTTCCTACTCACTTCTTTTTTTACCCATTTCATGTTGATCTACCCTGACTGTATGCCTCAGAAGGGCATTGGAGGGAGAAAACAGAGGTGCACAGCCAGGGAAATAGCACCAAATGACATCTAGGCCACAGTTCAGAGTTGCTGGCTTTGTGGATGCACATCTGAGCAGGACATTTGAAGCCACTGCCTAAGGACATGTGGTTAAGTGGTCATGGCTCCACACTGTGCTTGCAGAATAACAACACATAACCAGTGGCACCATCTATATTTCTTATCTGTTAGTGTTGGCCATCATACACTGGCTGCTAGCAAGAGAAACGGAACCTGAACTAGCTTAAGCAAGGGGGTAGGTTTTGGCCCATGTAACCCAACAGTTAACCAACAGTGGAAGGTTAAAAGCCCAGCTTGTAATACATCAGGGACGTCGATTTTTCCAAAGTAGTGGTGCCATTTTACACTCCCACCAACAAAGTGTGAGAGTTCCAGTTGCTTCACCTCCTCACCAACACAGAGTGTATTTGTTCACTTTAGACATACTAGTGGTGTAAAGTAATGTCTTCTAGTGGTTTTAATTTTCACTTTTTTAATGATTAATGACATTGAGCACCTTGTTGTGTTTACTAGCCATTCAAGTGTCTTTTTAAATGAAGTGTCTGTTCAAGTCTTGCTCATTTTTTGTTGTTTTTCTTTTTATTATTAATTTATGAGTGCTTTATAACTCGATATTCTGAATACTAGTCGTTTGTCAGATATATGCACTGTAAATACTTTCTTTCAGTCTATAGCTTGCCTTTTCGTTTCCTTAATGATATTTCTTGATGAGCAGAAGTTTTTAAATTTGATGAAAATCACATTATCAATTTTTTTTCTTTTACGGTTAGTGCTTTTTGCCTTCTTGCTAAGAAATCTTTGCTTTCTCCAAGATCATGAACATATTCTCTTATGTTTACTTTTAGAAGTGTAATAGTTTTAGCTTCTAGGTTAATTAATGATTGATCTTTGATTACATTTTTTAGTATGTGTGAAGTAGGGACCCTGTTTCTTTTTTTTTTTCCTCATGTGGATTATTGGCTCTTCTCCATTTTATTTTCTTGTTTTGGAATTCCAATTAGTTACTCTATTACTTAATCTATTACTACTCTATTATTTATTCCTTTTAACCTTTATTTTGTGTATTCCATTCTTTGTCTCTGTAGACTTCTCTGTATACTTTCTTCTTATTCACTCAATAATCTCCTTTTTAGTGCATTCTCATCTGAGTTTTAATTTTTCAATTATAATTATTTTCATTTCAGAAATTTTATTTGATTCTTGTTAAATCAGATTTCTCTCTATGCTTTTAGTTTTCAAGTTTTCCTTTTATTTCTTAAATATATTAAACATAGTTATTTATATCTTGTATCTGACAATTCAGATATATTAAGTCTGCTTATTTATTTAGTTTTCTGTTTATTGTTTCTGATGGTTTTCAACCATGGTATCTGTAGAGGAGGGAAAATAATCTTTTCCCTGTGCCCTTTTAGGTTTCTGGCTGAGCACATACACATTTATTTAATATAAGTTTTACATGACATGGGAGCCTTCACAAGGTAATGAAGACCTGAAGAAGTCATTTGGGAATTTTCTAGTTTTATTTATTTTTTATTGATTTCTAGTTGAGTTCCACCAGTAACACAAAACAAATTCTATATGATTTCTGTTCTTGAAATTAGTTGAGACTTACATTATGGCCCGGAATGTGTTCCATTTTGGTAAAGGAGCCCTGTGCACTTGAAAAGGGTACAAGCTCCATAAAGATCAATTAAGTCAAGTCTGTTAATTATGTTGTTCAGTCTACATCTCTACTGACTTTTTTCCTCCTTTTATTCGTTATTAGAAGATGTTATTAAAATCTACAACTATGATTAGATTTGGTATTTCTTTTTTGGTGCTATCAATTTTCATTTTATATATTTTGAGACTATAATACTTGGTGTGTACACATTTAGAATTATTATAACTTCTTGTTGAGTTAATCATCTTATCATTATGAAATGTCTCTTAATTGTTAGTAAGATTTCTGACATTAAAATCTACTTGATCTGATATTTGTATAGCACAGCAGCTTTCTTTTGATTAGTGTGTGGATAAAATGTTCTGTTCATCCTTTTTCTTTTGACTTTTCTGTGTCCTCATATTTCAAGTGTGACATTTGGAAGCGTCACCAATTCAGTTTGAGAATCTTTGTCTTTTAATTGTACTATTCAGTCCTTTCATGTTGAATGTAATTACTGATATATTTGGGTTTGAATCTTCTGTTTGACTATGAAGTAATTGTTACCATTATAAGGAAATTATTAGCTGGATTTCAACAAAATCCTTTGTGGTATTAGTGCTAATAGTGGATGAAAGTGGGGGAAAAAAATGAGTGTTAATCAACTCAGTTTCTTACATTTCTTCCATCCGGTTCTCCATATCTTTGGTATCATTTTTGTTTATAATGTGTTTTGTTTGTGTTGACTTTGTTTATGTTTTGTTTATGTCAGTTCCTAAAATTAAGTATTGGAAAAATTGTGACCTTACAGCTACCTTTGGATCACGATATCGCAAGGTTTTGAACCAAGAGTTTAAAAAAGAATGAGGCATAGTCATTCTTCTTGCTTTCCCTAAAATAATTGTTGAAAAATATTTTAAATTATCTTTCCAATATTGTTTATCTTTATCTCACCCTTTTTAATATTTTAGGTTGTATTTTTAATATATTTGACATATGAATACTCTAGTATATGTGTATAATTTATAAAGAAACAAGTCCCCAAATGTGTTGGGGAGATAATGTCAAAAATTTTTATTTGGTTGAATTTCATTAGTGAAAAACAGTAATGACTGCCTACACACAGTTAATCATGCAGCTTTTTCAAGCAGCCATGATCATTAGCTTCTCATCACCCTAAATAAGCATCTGATTGAACTTTCTGCAGCTGTTTGAAGTATTAATTGATTTAAGGAGGGAAATTGATGTAAGTATGGGTTTTTCTTCATACTTCCTCAAACAGTGTTCCAGAAGAAGGAGCATTGCTACTCCTCGGCGGGAAGTACTCAATCACATTTCTAACGGTTGTTTTTATTCCCAACAGTTGCTGGTCCTCCACTGGAGATATTCTTGATTAAATGCTACCAGGAGATTTTGCTTTTTCAACAACCAGAGTTTGAAAAAGTGTTCTAGCAACTAAGGAGACTGAGTCTAAATTGCACCAATATCTAATATTTTACTTGTTAACATTTTCCTGAACCAGAGCTCTTCCCGTGTATGCCCTTCTGTAGTGAAATCAAATTTGTTTAGGCAATTGAGTTTACCCTAGAAATGATTTAGTTACCTTTTCAGTTAGTCCAAAACTGTGAAAGAACTGAAGTAACTTTATACCTTTGACAAACAGATCCCTCCAGAAGAGATTAAAAATACAATTATTCAAGACTGCATTGGTAACAGCCAAACCAAACAAAAAACACAAGAAGACAGATAATGAATAAACTAATTCTATCATCTCAGTAAACTGAGAAATAAAAATATTTGACTGTGAAGACTCAAACAAATGGTTAATTGCTTAAGTTTTGGACTTTTCCACTGGGTATTGAGAAACATTATACAATCTAAGGGTTCAGGAAGGTATTAGTATTCAGAACAGGCTTTAAAAAGATAGACTGCGTTGTGCCCCCCCCCCGCCCCCCAATTCATGTGTTGATAGTTCTAACCTTCAATATGACTGTATTTGAAGATAATGTCTCTAAGGAGGTAAAGTTAAATGAGGTCATAAGGTTGGGATCCTAATCCAGTGGGACCAGTGTCTTTTTAAGAAGAGGTAGATCAGAAAGAAGTAGGCCTGCACCGAGAAAGGCCATATGAGGTCACAGCAGGAAGGCAGCTGTCTGCAAGTCAGGGATGAAGGTCTCAGCAAAAATCAACACTGCTGGCACCTCGATCTTGGATTTCCAGCCTTCAGAACTGTGAGAAAATAAACTTCTGTTGTTTAAGCTAAAAATAAAAAAGAAAATGAGAAAGGCATTCTTGTTGAACCTTTGGTTACTTGAATGAGCACTAGAAGTAAGAGCATAGCAGTTTTTTTTCTTTAGTGCTTAGTGAAGTTGCTGTCATCTTAGAGGTGACATTAACCATGGGCATAATCAGGATATAGAGCTAATGCACGTATTCAGCATTTTTTAAAGTATTGTGTCTCTTACTGAAAAGGA